GTCTGTCTTGTTGAACACTCTATCTCCAGCATCAAGCCCATTGTTTTTTACATGGTAGATGAATTAACAGAACAAATCCCACCTACCTTAAGGGGACTTGTCTGTGTAGAAAGGAGATGGCTTTTGCTTTCAGGGTGAAATAAACTCTCTGGTTCCTGTCCAGTGGAATTGCAACTTAATACCAACTAGCTCCTGGTAACTGCAGTGTGGGCCCTGGTTAACAACTGACATAGTCCCCATATCCACACCCACAGTCCTGCCTGGCCACCTACTCTGTGATGACAGGCAGATTGTCTGTTACATTGCAGGAGGATGAACTGTACAGAGATGGCAGTTAGACCCAGCTTCAGGCTAGAGCTTGTAAAATGACCCTTTGTCAGTTATCTCAGTAATTAACTTTAAAGCTCTTATTTGTTCCAATTTGTTCATTTGTTCATAAATAAGTCAAAGAATCTCTTATTTCATCTATTAAGAGAGAGTCATTAATCATGCATTTTATGTTTTATGCTTGAATTGTTAAAAAATATTTTGAAGACTCAAGAAAACTGAACTTTCTGATAATGTTTAAAGTCAGTGACCAAATAACTCATTAAAGTTTGATGGGACAGAGAAACATAAATTTATCTTAAATAAATAAATAAAATTCACTTCTTCTTGTGTTCATTTAACAAATATTTATGAGGAACTGCTCTTTGCTCTGCATTGTCCTCCCAGACACTAGAAAGACAAAGAAAAAAAAAAAAAAAAAAAAACACCAGTGCAGTTCCTATTCATTTGGGACTTACATTCTAGAGGAAAAACAACAGGCAGTAAGCAAAATGAACAAATTAGCACATTAGAAGTTTCCATATGTAAACTCGACTATGAAAACAATCAAGCCAAGAAAATGGAACACAGAGTTTTGGGAATAAGTACTAGTTGAGGTGGTCAGCTTTGCAGAGACTTGAATATATTTAAGATTTTCTATTGACAGTGCCATTATTATTAATTTTTGAGTCCCAAACAGAATAAATGATAAAGCATAGGTTTGTTTGAGATTTTTTGGAATTTTCACCTTAATGTCACTGGACTTTATTAGTGTTATCAATAGGGGCCTGGACAGGAATTTCACCTCTGGGTTCAGGAACACATCATATTATATCAATCTAATGGTTATCCCAAAAAGGCAGACTGGGCCCAAGGATTGCACATAAATAATGACTCCATTCAAAGGCACACCCCTTTGATTTTATTTAAAGAGTAGCCTCTTATTAATACCTGCATGGCCAATTTTTCAAAAATGAGCTCCAATTAGTGGAACTCTTACTCCAAAGTCAATGGCACTGGTGAGAAGTCAAGAGAATCTCAAGTGTATAGTCCAATGATGGTTCAATGCCTTTTTTCCCAGAATTCTGCCACCCATCCTTTCCTTCTCTATTCTTATCTGAAATTCCACAATAAACACACACAAGACTGGTGGTTCATCTACAATTCAGACACATACTCTTACACAAATACATTGCCATTCATATTCATGATGTTTAACTTGGCTGCCTATTTAATTACTGAAAATGGCCATATCAAAATTTGCACGTGTGCATGGAAATAAAAGCTGACCACTTACATTTTAAAATTTTATTCAATATCATTTTTTATTTCTAGGTTTTTATATACCATGTTGCAAGTCTACTTTAAGGTTAAATACAATTTTGACCCAATATTGCTCTTTTGGAAAATGAATGATATTAGATTTGAAGCCTAAAAGATATAAATTATGTATCTTATGAATCTTAAGAGAGATTTTTAACTTTTTGTCAAAAGGCAAGTTCTGATTAAAAATTGAGGAAAGGTAGAACTTGGATGGAAAATTATTTAAGACCTCAGAATGCCTACATAACTCATAACCTTGAGGTAGATGCTATGATTATCCTACTAACTTCATTAAGTTCCATGGAAGCAAGGACTTGGCCTATTCACTCTGTACTCCACACCTAGTATAGTGCCTAGCACACAAACGTTGATCAAGCAAAGTGATTAAAGGACCCAAAGAAATTTTCAGACACAATTAAAAGTTTAAAAAACCCAGAAAAGTATCCCAGGCTGTGCATTGGCAAAGCTTGGCTGAACCACGACCTCAGTACCAACATGCAGAGTAGACTCAACTCTAAGACACCCTTAACACCAAAATGCCACAAGTAACCTCAGCTTAGCAACCATCAAGTGTGCAGGAGACAGTGGCTGGATCAACCGACACCAGTGACCAGACAACTGTCAGGTCTATGGTGAGCTGGGATTCTTTTTCATAGTTTTAACTAATTTGTGCTTGATCATAAATTTTAATTCAATTCCAAAATCCCTAAAACAATTCTTCACAGAACTAGAAAAAGCAACCATGAACTTCATGTGGAAAAATAAGAGATGCAGAATAGCCAAAGCAATACTAAGCAAGAAGAGAGAAGACATATCATAATACTATAGCTTAAACTGTACTACAGAGACATCGTAACAAAAACAGCATTGTATTGTCATCAAAATAACACAGAGACCAATGAATGGTACAGAATAGAAGACAGAGAAAACTCACAAAAACACAGTTATCTCAAACTAGACCAAGGCGCCAAAAACATACATTTAAGAAAAAAAAAAAAAAGCCTGTTCAACAAATGGTAAATGGTGCAGGAAAAATTGGAAAGCCACATAAAATAAAAAGTAAAGCCCTCTCTCTCACTCTGCACAAAACTCAATTGAATATAGATCAAAACTTAGGCACTAGAACAGAGATCCTGAGCCAAATAGAAGAAAAAGTAGGCCTAAATCTTCACTATGTCATCCTAAGATCTGACTTCCTTAAGGTGACTCCTACATTCCAAGAATTTCAAGAATCAATAAACAGGATAGATTCAAATTAAAAAGCTTCTTCTCAGCAAAGGAAACAATCAATAATGTGAAAAGAGAGCCTACAGAATAGGAGAAAATCTTCACCACATGCACCTCAGAGCATTATTCTCCAGGATATATGCAGATCTCAAAAAACATGACACCAAAAAAAACAAATAACCAAATCAATAAATGGGCTAAGGAACTAACAGACACTTCACAGAAGAAGCAACAAATACATGAAAAATGTTCAATATTTAGCCATTAGTAGAAAGCAAATCAAAACTTCTCCAAGATTTTATCCCACCCCAGTCGACAAACATGGTTATCAAGAATACAATCATCAAGTAACAATAAATGTTAGGGAGGATGTGGGGAAAAGGGTGCACGCACACATTGCTTGTGTGACTGCAAATTGAGGCAACCATTATGGAAAGCAGTATGGAAATTCCTCAGAAAACGTGGACTGGAACCAACATCTGACACAGCTCTCCCTTTCCTCATTTTATAACCAAACGACTTAAAACCAGCATATTACAATGACACAGTCACATTATGTTTACAGCAGCTCAATTCATAATAGATAAACTATGGAACTAACCTAGGTGTCTTTCAACAGATAAATGAATAAAGAAAATGTGGTGTGTATGAGTATAGATATACATATGTGTGTATGTGTGTGTGTGTGTGTATATATACATATATATAATATATATAATATATATATATTATATGTAATATATACATATATATATATATACACACACACACACACACACAATGCAAACACACATACACACACATAAACAATTTTACACACATATATAGGATGGAATAAACTCAGCCTTAAAGAAGAATTAAATTATGACATTTGCTGGTAAATGGATGGAGCTTATCATGCTAAGTGATAAGCCAATCCCAGAAAATTTTCCCTGATATGCTTATGATAATCACAGTAAGGGGGGGGGGGGGTAGGGAAGAATAGAGTTGTTTTAGACTGCACAGAGAAGTGAAGAGAGGGAAAGGGGTACACTGGGTAGAGTGGATAGTAGAATGAATCAGACATTTATTCCAAAGTACATATGCAAATACGTGACTAGTGTGATGCTACATCCTGTACAACCAGAAGCATGAGAAATCATACTACATTTATGTACGCTATGTCAAAGTGCATTCTATTGTCCTGTAGAATTAGAACATTTTTTTAAAAAGAAGATTAAAGAAAACATACCAATTTGCAGAAAAAAATATGACTACAATATCTGCCACCTGGAGACACTCATGGTAACTGAAGCTAAACCAGTCTTCAAAAAACAAAGGACAAATGTTTTCTCTGATATGTGGGAGCTAACCCACAATAGGAGGGGTGATGGGAACAGAAGTGCAGTAGATTAGACAATGGGGAATGAGGGAAAGGAGGGGCATAAGCAAAGGAAAGACAGTGGAAAGACTCTAATGCAGCTTTCCCATGTATATACGTGGAAACAACACTGTGAATCCCACCACCATGTACATCCTAAGAATATAATTCTAAATATATAAGGTATCTTACTTATACAAATATTGATTATATAATATTGAATTTTATGGGCCAGGATTGTGGCTCAGTGGTAGGGCACTTGCCTAGGCATGTGTGAGGCACTGGGTTTAATTCTCAGTACTGAATTAAAAAATAAAATAAAATAAATGGACCATTAACAACTTAAATAATTTTTTAAAAATGGATTCTATAATAAAAACAACCAATAAATGAAAATTAACAAAATGAAACATTTCCTAGGTTCCCTTAAACATTTTGATAGCACTGAAATCAACTTCAAATGAATGGAAAGAAAAAAGGCTTTTAAGAGTAAGTTAGTCTCCACCATTATTCTGTGAAATGATGACATAACTATTGGGACAGACTTTTCCCGCTTATGACCTCCAGAACTGTGGGAAATATTTTTCTATTATTTATGAGTCTCATAATTTTCACTAGTAGAAATTAAAATTAACAAATTTCAATATTTAGACGCTAATTACCTAACGAATAACAATACCTCGAAACCAGAGTTTGAAGATGAGACTCCATGGCTCTAGCTGGCAGGTAGGGGGTCTGCGTGCGGGGTGGGGAGGCCTCCGCAGCAGAGAGGAGTCCTACCTACCTCCTTATGGCGGGCCATTCCATCCAGCGCTGCAGCAGACCCCAGCAGATCCTCAACCATGTCTTCTTTCTTTCAGCAGTCTCTTGGAAGTCGAAGAATCACCTCTGGGAACCAAACCAGGGTGAAACTTCCATGGAACTCCGGCGAAAGTCCGGCGAAGGTCCGGCGAAAGTCCCGCGAAAGTCCCGCGAAAGTCCGGCGAAAGTCCGGCGAAAGTCCGGCGAAAGTCCGGCGAAAGTCCGGCGAAAGTCCGGCGAAATCCAGGACACCAACCTCGATGGCCTCCGCTGCTTCTCTACGTCTGAACAACCTGCAAGGGGTTTATATAGCGCTTGGTCCAATGCTATTGGTCCAAACTTATGCTAATTAGGACTTGAAAAAAGGACCAATGCTATTGGCCCAAAGTTATGCTAATTGGGTTGGACACATACTAACGCCATTGGTCAGTCTCTTTTTAATATTCATAGTAGATTCATTCATAGAAGCAGCCCCAAATTCCCACGCTGACAATGAATGAATGGGCTGGGAAGCAGCTCAATGGCAAAACCGCAAAGTGCTTGCCTCGCATTCCCAAAGCCTTGGCTTCCATCCCTGTTCCAAAAAGAAAAAGTAAAAACAAATTACAGATATATGAATGCCAGCAAAAAGGAAATAAACAAATTTTATCAATACATAAATCTTATTCAAAAACATACCTGGCTCTGCGTTCTGCAGATCTCTGTCAAGTGTCGCCTTACCCTTTACCTCTTCAAAACAATTTTTCCCAAAAGTTGAGAGTCATGGACCATGTCTTTTTTTTTTTTTTTTTTTTTTTTTTTTTTCCTAAAGAGCTTCACATCTTTATTTATGTAACAATTGCACTATGTGCATGTAATTGAATAGAACATGTAATTCATCACACCTGAAAACTGGAAAATAGGGAAATCACAATTTCTAAAGACAATTTCACCAAAGTGCAATTGAGTGACAGATTGTAAAGATGTCAATGATTGTATTAAAAGTCATCAAAATGGCCAGGCTTCATAAGGCCAAAAATGTTCTTCCATGACTCTTAATAAAAAACAAAAAAGAAAACCCAATGGAATTTGCATTTGAGTGGTCATGCTTAGACTTCACCCTTGTGACATTTCTCCTAAAAGCATCATTGGTCCAGGACATGTCATATATCCTGACTTCTCCATAAGGCAGAGAGAGTCTTGTTTCAAGAAACAATCACCTTGGAAAATGTAAATTTAAACAGAAAAAAAGTGTTTTTCACCTTTTGGATCATTCTTTTTTTTTTTTTTTTTTTTTTTTTTTAATTTTTTATTGTGGGTTGTTCAAAACATTACAAATTTCTTGACATATCATATTCCACACTTTGATTCTAGTGGGTTATGAACTCCCACCTTCACCCCATACACAGATTGCAGATTCACATCAGTTACACATCCATTGATTTACAAATTGCCATACTAGTGTCTGTTGTGCTCCGCTGCCTTTCCCATCATCCACCCTCCCCCCTCCCCACATGGACCATGTCTTAGTCATCTCTCTTCTGCACCTATGCCAGAGGTGATACGGATGTGTGGGATGTAATCGGGCTGAGGATCAAGGTCTCATTTGAAGCCAGCTTTTGAAGCATTGCTGGTGATATCACAAAATTGCTACTTGTTAAAATCCAGATGCATGCCTGAACAAATGATATAGAACCAAAAAATAGCATGATTAAAGGTCAAGAAGAAGCAAATAGGGCTGGAGTTGTGACTCAGTGATAGAGCTCTTGTCTCGCAAATGTAAGGCACTGGCTTTGATCCTCAGTACTACCTATGAACAAATGAATAAAATAAAGGTCCAGAGACACCCGCCCCAGCTCAGGCCCTTCCCAGATGCACTGGAGCTGGGGCCCAGAGTAGCCCGGTTTCTTCCCACTACCAGCAGGATGCTCAGTCCCAGACCAGGACCACTTCACTCACCTGCAGACGCCTGCCAGAGCTCATATACGGTCCAGATCTGCCCCCACCAACCTGCGCAGGAGGCCACACACAGGGTAAGACTGCATCCTTCCCTCAACTGGGAGACCTGCACCGAGCTCAGGTCCGGCCCAGAACCACTGGCTGACCCTCCCGAGAGCTGAGACTCTGGCCAGGACTGCCTCTGCCCACCGGCAGACCACTTCAGGAGCTCAGATCCAGTCCAGAGCCACTGCAAGGACCTGTGCAGGAGATGGGGCCCAGGGTAGGCCGAGTCCATCCACTCATCATGAGACTGGTGCCAGAGCTCAGGTTCTTCCCAGGCCTGCCTCCTCCATCCAGCAGCTCCCTCCAGACCTCACGTTTGGACCAGGACAGACTGCCACCAACAGACACTCAATGGTGGCCAATCCTGGCCCATTTCAGCCTCGACGACCTGAGTGGTAGCTGAAGCCCAGAGTAGGTCCCAGGCCTTCCCACCACCAGCAGACCCCTGCTGTAACTCAGGTCCCACCAGATAAGCCTTGCAGATGTGCACAGAAACCCGGGAAGAGGGTAGCCCTGGGAACATATGGCCACCACCAGACCACCACCTGAGCTCAGGCTTGGCCCAGCACTGACTCTGCCCACAGGCACAACCCTGCCAGAGTTTATACAAGGCACAGATTGGCCTCACTACCCAGGCAAGGGGAGGCCCTGTTCCATCCCACCACCTGAAGAACCCCACCAGAGCTCTAGCTCTGCCCACATCCAACTCAACGACCTGGCAGGATGAAGCCAGAGTCCAGGGTAGCCCATATCCTTCCAAGTCATCAAGAAACTGGCAACCAAATTCAGGCTCTGCCCACGACTGACTCCACCCATTGTCAGTTGCAGAACTTCAGCCCCAGCCCATACCAGCCTCACTGACAGGCACAGGAGCCTGGCCCAAGGTAGGCCTAATACCAACTGCCACAAGCAGGCCCCAAGCAGAGCTCAGGCCAAACACAGGACCGCCTTGGATCAACAGGCAGAGCTCAAACTCAGCCAAGATTGTCCTTGCTGAACTGCTTGTGAGGCCAGGCAAGGTGGGCCCCCAGTGTCATCCTGCCACATGCAGAACCTCGCCAGAGCTCGAGCTCTGCCCAGATCCAACTCTATGACCTGGCAAGAGATGAAGTCCGAGCCCAGGGTAGCCCAAGTGCATCCAGTCACCATGAGACTGGCACCAGAGCTCAGGCTCGGCCCATGACTGTCTCTGACCACTGACAGACAGTCACTGAAGTTCAGCCTCAGTCAGATCAGCCTTCCTGACAGGCGCAGGAGCCTGGCCCACAGTAGTTGGATGGACCTGTGGCTATCCTGTGCTTGGGTGTAGTCTCGGTCAGCCAGTGGCTGGAAGGACCAAGGCTATCCTAGGTAAGGACTCCCACGAAGGTGAAATAGGCTGATCAGGGCAGAGCCTGAGCTCTGGTGGCATTCAGCCAGTGGTGGGATGGCAACAGGCTTAACCTGAGAACAGGCTCATGTGCAGTTCAGCTGGGCAGATGAGGCCTGGGCTTGACTTCCGCAGGGGTCTACAGGTGGCGGGATGGAACTTGGCTTACCCTTGCCGAGGCTCCCGCACAGCTGGCCTTGGCTGATCAGGCATAAGCCTGGACTCCCAAAGGTGTTCCCTGTGGGCAGAGGCGGTCCTGGGTCTGTCCTGAGCTCTGGTGGGGGTCGGCCACTAAGCCAGGCTCCCACACCTGTCACCAAGGCTGACTTGGGCTGGGCAGGTGTCTTCCAGTAGGTGGAGTCAGTGCGGGGCGGAGTCTGACCTCTGGTGGGTATCTGACAGTAGGCGGAGTCATTCCTGCGATGAGGCTGCGCTCCAGCAGGGGTCAGCCTGCAGCGGGATGGCCCTGTGACTACTCTCTGCTCTGGCTTGCCTGCAGTTCAGCTGGGTAGATGAGGCCTGGGCCTGACCTTCGCAGGGATCAGCGGTATGGAACTTGGCTTACCCTTGCTCAGGATCGCGCGCAGCTGGCCTTGGCTGATCAGGCAGGAGCCTGAGCTCTGGAAGGTGTTCGCCTGTGGGTAGAGTCGGTCTTGGATGTGGCTTGAACTCTGCTGGGGGTTGACTGGTGGCGGGATGGAGCCAGGCCTACCTTGGACCAGGCTCCCATGCCTGTCAGCGAGGCTGGCCTGGGCTGGGGTTGAATTCTGGCAGGTGTCTTTCAGTAGGCGGAGTCAGTGTGGGGCAGAGCCTGAGCTCTGGCGGGCATCTGACAGTGGGATGAGTCCTTCCTGGGCTGAGTCTGAGCTCTGGCAGGGGTCAGCCCGAGGTAGGATGGACCTGTGACTACCATTTGCCCAGGCTATCACCTCATGTCATCCTGGGAGATCTGGGCTGATCCTGAGCTCCCAAGGATCTTTGCTGAGGAGTGGAGGCAGTCCTTGGCCAAGCCAAAGGATCTATGGGGCGTCAGGTGGTGGCAGATAGAAACTGGGCCATCCCTGGGGACCGGCTCCTGGACAGAGCTTGAGCCCAAGGTAGGCCTGGCTCCATCCCGCCTCCAGCATGGTGTGGGAACCTCCTCCTGGCACTCCCCAGGCCTCACTAATTTACTACTGAACCAGCAGGCCAAGGGGATTTTAAAAACAACAACAAAAATCAATTTATATATGATCTTTCAAAAGTGCATCAATGCATTCTACTGTCATATATAACTAATGAAAGCAAATGAAAAAATTTAAAAAGTAGATCAGCAATTAGGACTTTGGTCAACAAGTGGCCAGAATCAACTAATCTTCAATACCATGGAAAAAAGAAGACAGAAGATGTCACCCTAGAACATGAAATTTTCCAGTGATTTTTATCTTGCTCAATATAAAACCCAAAGTGGAAACAACTCATTCCACAGCTTGCTTTGGGAGCCTCCAGGGCCATGGCAGCCCCCTTGCTGCGTTTGGTCTCTAGTGCCTGCCATTGCCTCTCCAAGGGTGTCATCTGAATTCCATGAGGGTAGGGACAATGATCTGTGTCCCCAGAGCCCAGAATTGGGGCAGTCCCACAGTTCTCATCAAGGTGTTTGAGGTTCTCTGCACTGTGGGGTAATTAGTGAATTACTTGGCCACTCATCTTTTCTCCTCTCATGGATATCCCTGAGGACTCCTCAGCACAAGAAGAATGACAAGCACTATCAAACTCGAGATTCCGGCTCGGGGTCGTGACAGAGAATCAGCACATCATGACCACACTCAGGAAACCAGATCATTACCATAATGGGATCTTGTAATGGTATGCAGAAGCCCACAGGTATGCTGAGACTCAGTCCACCAGGAGAAAACCCTTATGAACCGGAGGACAGTCAAGGGACCCTAGGAGGTTAAGGAAAATCAGCACATTTAGGAAAAGCTCGCTCCACCAGATTGCTGTTGATTCTGGAAAGAGGACAAAGATGACAGGAATACGTGGATGCACAAACTAATGTATCTTATGTATGAAGAAGAAAGTACTTGAGCCTGGTGTCTTGTCACATGGAGGCTGAGGCAGAAATTCCAAGTTCAAAGCTAGCATCAGCAACTTAGCAAGGTCATAAGCAATTCGGTGAGGCCCTACTCTAAACCAAATACAAAAAAGGTCTGGGGATGGGGCTCAGTGGTTAAGCTCCCCAGGGTTCCATCCCCAATACAATAAAAACAAATAATGTGGTAGAACCCAGAGAGGAAGATCCCATTGCTGCTTGTGTTGGATCTTCCTGGGATGCCACCAGGTCAGGAAGCCCCTAGGATGACTGGCACACGGTGACGTCATTGGGCTGTCAGTCCGCCTGTCCTGTGACACCCGCAAGTATCTGGAGAGCAGCCAGGATGGCATAGCAGCCACCAAGGGGGATCCTTGGCACGCAAAGCCCAGAAAGTCCCATGGAGAACACAAACCAGTGCACTCTTCTGCCAGAGCCTAGGATCTCCAGGCCTTTGACTCCAAAGTGGATGGATGTGAAACACTTCCTTTCTGTGTGCCGGACTTTCCCCTGCTCTGCAGTCATTTCATGGGAGTATTGTTCAAATACTTCGGCACTTCCTTCACAAGAATTGAAACTAGGGTGAGAGGATTTTTGAGTGGAGTGCATTGATTTCATGCCTTGCAATAGTTGTGAGCATCCTTTCTTCTTCAAGAATAGGCAGAAAAAGATGTTTGAGATGTTTGAGGACAGTGACTGTCTGGAAATCAAGTCATTGTCATGATCCCTTGTGTGGGTTGCCGAAAATCGGAGCATCTGGAGGATCAAAGTTCGTGAGCCTCTTTGTCGTTCTCTCTTGTGTTTTCTGTTCTTTTCTTTTTTCTTTCTTTTTTGTTCCCACATATTGTGTCCAGGTATGATTGTCCACTGTGGGTGGGGTGTTAGTCTGCCTATTCTTGAAGAAGAAAGGATGCTCACAATTATTCCAAGGCCTGAAATCAAAGGAGAACTTGCACCAGAATTTGTTCTATAGTACCTTTCTGAGGCAGGCTCCCTAGTTGAATGTATAATTAGGTGGCCTAATACTAGTTGTCAGCATGGAAGTCAAATTCCATGTGAGCTGAGCAAGCTAGAGGTGATGAAAAAAGAGAGCTGGTCCTTGGCACTGCCTTTTCTCCCTTTTCTCTGTTTAGCATTTGTACCATTTGATGTTTCTTTGAGAAAATGAGGAAGATCTGGTGCAGGGATACCTTAGTTGTTCTCATTTGAGTGAGCAGCCATGGCAGGTATTGACAAAGGTGGCTGATTTGTAAGCTATTCATCTGGTCACAACTCTTTGGAAACATTTTTATTGACTTTTTTGTTTTTGTTTTTTATACTTTCCAAACACGCTGTGTTGGGTTTAGGAGGCTGTTTTCTCTTCTAGTAAATACTTCTTTGAATCTTTGGAGAGTAGAAGTTAATTGGGCATCAAGAGCCTTAACCCAATCTGTGAACTACTCACCTGTTTGGATCGGTTGCAAGGTAACTGAAGGCAAGCGGGTGCCTCCAGACCTGGAGGAGGTCTGTCTTTTTTGTCAAGGATGTGGGCTATCTATCTGTAAGTAAAAAGTAGAAATCTCTTTCTCTGCTTCTTGATCATCTTGTCAGCTACTTCCCTCTGCCACACTCTTCTGCCATGATGTTCTGCCTCACCTGAGGTTCCAAAGAATGGAGCCTGCTCTCTATGAACTGAGACCTCTGAACTCATGAGCCCCCGAATAAACTTTGCTCCCCTAAGATAATTCTGATCAGATCGGGTCTTCACTGTAGCGAAAAAGCTGACAAATCTAGGCTTCACTGGTATTGTTACTCATTTTTAACTTCCAGTTTTGGTAAGCTCAGTTTAATACTAAAGAAAAAAATTATAGAAAAATTTACCAAATAATAAAGTATTTATTGCTTATCACTCTTTTGATAACTGTCCCTTTATGCTGATACAAATTTCCTAGGAGTATCCTTGCATGGTTAATGAGAACAGGGCACAATTCCTATAAGGCCTTTGCTTTGAACAATCATGGGAATTTGGGCCCTTGTCAAATATTTGAAAAGCCCCTGAACACATCCAGACTCCACAGCCAGGGAGACAGACAGAATGAGAGGAAGGACTGCATCTTCCTTTCCTGGAAACTGGAAATTTCCTAGAGATGGTTCAACAGTTTTTAGCGTCTACAGATAAAATGAG